GGGGTCCTGGGTGACACAGTGGGTCGCAGTGTCTCTGTGGTCCTGTGGTCCTGTTTCTTCTCCCAGCTCAGCTATTCACTGCAGCCCAGTGCCATCAGGACACAGGTCATGGACAATCATTCAGGGGTGGTAATGACACTTGAACTGTGTGGGAACCATGTGAGTGCTGCACACATGCTGCAGATCCCGCATCCAACAGTCTCATTTCCTTTTCTACACACATTAGAAATACAGTGAGACAGATGGTGGGTTATGGAAGTACTGAGGCTAATCACAAAACCTTGATTCAGCCTTCAGGTGTACAAGCACAATACTATTGCCCTTAATTACAAGATTATATGAACTTTTCTCCCATTAATCCCCCTGCTGCCTCACTTGTTAGATGGATCATCATGATCACCCTTAGATACATCAGATGTATATGTACATCTTGGACCAAGCCTTTAGCACAAAGAACACTGAATTTATCCTTCTGCTTTACTGCACTTCTCTGTAGGTTCTTGTTTGATAAAACAAAATTGCATGTGGAAAAAGCTCAGTTTTTTAACTGAAAAATACTTTTATAAATCTTATCTCTCCATTTTAAGTGTATGAAATATAGTAATGAGCAAACTAAGCAGACCAGAGGAGAGCAAATGTCATGACAGACCATTATTCCTCAACCACCTTGCAATTTGATGTATTCCCTACCCACCACACAGGACTATGTTTAAATCAAGAACAGCAAAGGGAACTTCCCCAGCACATTTAAATCGGTGTAATGTATGACCTTATTTTTACTGCTTCCTTCATAAAAGGAATTTAAATAATGATTTTAAGAGCTAATAATCTAGGGACAAATTTTGCTGTCAGATAAGACTTTCTTTGAAGTCTCAGTGCATAGTTTGGAGCCTTACAAATGAATTATGTAATAGATGTGCAAATTCATAAGATTATGAATCTCTTCAGCCAAGTTTACTTGAAAAAAAATAAATTGTAAACTATTTCTATACCTAGTAATTAACAATTCCTATCAGAGACAAAAAAAAGAAAGCACAGTAAACATATAAGTTTGAAAATGGAATGTTTGTATGCTAACATTGCCACATATAGTGGCCTATTACCCTTTCATTTATGTTTCATCCCTAAGATTTTTTTATAACTAGTCAATATTTGTAAATTCATGAATAATTATTTAATCAATCACATTGCACTAAGCTCTTTGTATATGTAAACATCTGTTAAAACCAAACACTATCACTGATTTCATAAAAATAATACTCTGTAGTTACTGGCATGTACAATTTACAACAGATTATTAGATAAATTACTTACTGACAGCCTTCTCCAATAAACTTGCAGCAGAGATTGATAAATGTCACAGCTACAAGTAGGCATACTGGGCAAGAAAGTCTGAAAAACATATTCCTAGTCATACAATCAAATTTTATTTTTTTATTTTTTTTCCCAAAATCCTGTCTGTAAATTGTACTCGTTTTGCAGAAAGACAGATACTGAGTAGTATTGTTGAGGCAACTGGTACATAAAATCCATGCAAGAAAGACTGTTCATACATGACTGCCGAACTGGCCCTTATTTAGGACTCCCAGATTTCTATCTGGGATTTCCTGGATAGAAGTCTACACATTTGTATGCCACATGTGCAATGACTCTACCCTGTGCAGAATGCACTGAAACTACTGCAGGGATGACTTGTGCCTACAAGTGGGACTCATTCAGCATGTGCATGGCACTGTGCAGGCAGAGGGAATCCAAGGTGTGCAGGAAGCTTTACACCTACTGCACGTGAGCTGTACTGCTGGTCTGCACGTGCACTGTGGAAACATCTGGGACTGCTCTGGCTGAGCTGTAAAATATTCAAAGGGGAAAAAAAAAAAAGTAGGAAAAAAGTCTGAAGCACTTCAGATCACATCTGGAAGAAATTCCTACCAGAGTGGAACAGTGAAGAAACTCAAATTTACAGTAGCTCTACCAAGAGGCAGAACTGGCTTTAGGCATAAAGAATGTGGGAAATTACCAAAGGCAGCAGATTTATGGGGATAAGCTAAAAATAAAGAGGTTGTTCTGTTTATCAGGGCAGCATTTCTGGGTCCATGCCTACACCAGCCTCACCATCTCCTTCACCAACCAGCATCAACCTCCTCTCTCAGCTGTGAAAATAAAGTGATCTCTTGCCCAATAGTGGGCAGGATATCAACAGTTTACACTGAGTTTGTCCCATCCCTTCATCAGCTAGGAGCTGGAAAATAGGAGAGGTTTTAAAGGTAACCAGCTCCCTCAGAAACAGTGAGGAAGACACAGCAGAGGAGAACTGGAAACTACTCCCACAGCTTCCCTCTTTACTTCTCCATCTCCCATGTTGAGACAGTGGTGAAAGGATCTGAACTGTCTTGCTCGGCACAGAAAACAGAGCCACGACCATCTGCCACTAAAGCAAGGAAACTGGCTTGGTTTTGGTATCCTGAGTCACTCAGGAAGAACGGTGCCTCGACTACCACTCCTAAATCTTTTTTGAATTATATTGTTCCCATCCAAGATTTGCCTATATTATGGAAAAGTCTTGCCATGCTTACTGCATGAGTTTGAGACTGGTTGATTTTGTCCTGAGGTAGGTTAGGAGCTCTGACATGGTTATGGGAGCAGTTATCTTCAGCCAAGAGAAAAAAACAAATAGGAGTCTGTAAATATTCTGAAAGTAGAGAAACAGTTTACACAGTGATGTGGGCTGAGATATATAAGTCCTGAGTATTTTACACTTACTTGCAAATATTTTCCACTATAATAAAGACTAATGAAGCAGAATCATAATACAGGTGGGACAGCAATTATGAACCTGTTCCTACAAGCTGTTTAGTCATTTCCACAGATGTTTAGTCCCTTGCATGATCCTCATGGACCCTTATTGCCTACTAATATATTGTACTAGTGTTGGTCTACCAAGTGGCAAAAAAACCTTGAGATAATATAAAGATGGTGTCCATCCATAGCAGCAGTGGAAGATTTCAGGAAAATTAAAATATCCAAGCGGAAGAAACTCTGGGCTCATCTCTTAACACCCTAGATATAAGTGGCCAGAGCAAGGAGCTAACCTTTGCTTACCTCCTTGCTACTAATGGTATAATCCCTTGATAATACCAGAATAAAGATGCTGCTAAGTAACAGGTTTTAGTTGCCCTTTCTCATGGCTAATCCATCACAGAACACCCCCCCTAGAACAGCCATCACAGGATTTTTTTCCCCATGCAGATTCACCGATGACAGAATGACCAATGACTCAGTAATCATTCCCCAATGCATACAATTCTTTATTCAGCAAACATAGTACTGGATCCAATATTTCTTTTTGCTGCTAATAGACAATTACGGGTGACACACATCTGGCTTTCTCTGTATACAACAAATGATTGATCGTATTTTCCCACTAGTTCTGCTTTGCTGCCTGTTATGTCAGTCAACTGCTAATGCCAGAGTCTGAATAATCAGATTAGAAACATCTCTGATGTCTAGTGCCCTTTATGCCTTTTTTTTTTTTTTTTTTTTTTTTTTTTTGAGGCTGTTCTATTTCTGTTCAGAACAGTAAAAGGCTGGGAGGCACGAGATCTGGTTTGATCATTTCAGCAGGTATTGAATCGATATTAAATTTTGTTTTTTTTAGCATCTCTGTGGATAATTCCTTGAAATATCTTTTGATTTGTGTGTTTCAATTATACTCTTTATACATGGAAGACCAATGAGTCTGATTTCTAGAAGAATTTTTTCATTCATTTTAACAAGCATAAGTCACCTCTAGGGAACACTTCACCATATTTCAGGGTGACATATTTATCACAAAAGCTGGTAATGCAAATAAGGGACGTTATACTCAGGAGACTTCCACAGGGGCTGAGACAAACCAGGACAAAACCTCTTTTTCAGTATGAGTCAGTTAAATGCCAAGGCAGTGCCACAGAGCTTGGGCATTTGATTTCCCTTGTGGTAGAGAAATAATTTTAGCTTGATGTGTCTAATTAGTGACTTAAGTAAGTTATATTCTGTGTAAGAAGAACCACATGACTCATTATAAATTCATTTGAATCTTAAAAATTTGGAGTAAAAGGGAAAACCTACAGGTGAATACAATACCACAGGGATTTCAGCTTTTATTCTTCTAAAAATGATAGTAAGGATGCTAATTAAAAAAACAAAACAAACAAACAAAAAAACACCACAAAACAACAATCACAATAAAAAAAACCTCCCAAACTCCAGCAAAACAGCTCTGGTGAAGAGTCCCTTTGAATTTACTCCCACACAACCCTGCAGTGCAACTCAGTCCTGTCAGCTGTGACAGACTTTGTTTTTTGCATTCTTAGGCAGAGTTATGGCCAGACCCAAGGCTGATGGAAATCAGCATGGCTCTGTTGACTTCAAAGGTACTATTCAAATATGATTAAAAAAAAAAATCCCTTCATACTTGTAACCTAATAATGATTTTACTCAAGGTTTACAAGGAATTCCAGAATACAACCCATAGCAGCTTAGCTCTAGCAGCAGCTTAGAAGTCAGGTATAATAGTAAGAATTTGTTCTTTTTCTCATTTTCTGAATATAGATTCAGTTCAAAAAACAAAATAAATCTTGTGTCATTTACAACTCAATTCTGATGTTATGAGTTAATTTGATGATCTTAATGCATCACAGTGTCAAACGTTCTGAAGCAGATTTTCCACTGCTCCTCTTAGAGTACTCAGTATGACTCTAACACTAATGACTTGAAACCCTAGCTTGTGAAAGCTTAGTTTCTGCAAAATTATGAAGAGGATATTTGAACAGAAGGACTCAGTTCAGAAAAGAGACCTGTGCATATGAAGCACTAACTGTGCATGACCCAAATTTTCTGCATATTTAATACCCTCATGAATAGAGGTCAGAAGTATTATTTCAACCCGTTGCAAAGCTCCTGATAAGAAACAGATGTAAACAGAGAAGTTTACAGGCTACTCCTGACTTATTGTTACTCACCAGATATCTCCTCTAGGCACTGTTTGGCAGTCTTACTGAATGACAAATCCATTTTAGTGGGACTGGTGCAGGAGTCAGCAGGTGGTAAAGAGGTACTGTCATTTTCTGAGAGAGTTCTGAAATCAAGCAAGAAGATTGATTATTATTATCTGGCATTCATGTATGAATGGAAATGAATGTTACTTGCAGTTCCATCTAGAACTGTACCACTATATGATGAAAATACCATGAATTTCACATTCTTACTGTGTTAGTTTGAATCCAGCTAAACAAATCTGCAAACAACTATGAACTCTGTCTCTCTCTTCAAGAGCTATTCTGAGTTAATGCTGGGAAATTTGGAGCCATTTTGTTTCCTTTTTCTCTGCGAGAAGTGTCAACCAGATATAGGCAGAATCCATTTAAATTGGTGAAGTAACATCCCTGCACATATATAAGGGAAATGAAAACTTGTAATTGCTGAAATATTAAGTGAGAAAAGCCATGTGGGAAAAAGCTTATGCAAGACTGGAATTGAAATCTGGCCCAGATATTTAAATCTATGTGCAGCTTCTTTTGATAATACCCCTTACATAACTCTGGGGAAATGGGATAATAAAAGTTTTTCCATTAACTTGCTAACAAATGCCCATATTTTTTGTGATGGTATATTTCTGTGGGTATTATTGATAAATTATAATGAGTACCCTTTGTTATTTGCATAATTGCTACTTACCATTGCATAATGGTAAGTAAAAAGAAATACACAAGCACAAGGATTATAATACAAAATAGATCACACAATTATTGTCTCCTCTTAAGGAACAGCTGCAGCATTTATCTTACACAAGAACTACTGAACCACGATGCCATTAAGTAGCAACCTGTACCACATTTGTATAGAGTAAAAGAATGCATCTAAAGATATACCTGACACATTTTGAAATGGAAAAAAAGTCTTCACTTAGAACTTAGCTTAAGTTCTTACAGCTTTCCTTATTTGATAAGTACACTCAGGCCTTAATTTTCTTAAAAGACTAGTGAAATCCTAATTTTAAAATGTTACATTTTTAGCTCAATTCTCAAAATTCACCATAAAGTGTTTCCAATGACCAACTCAATACAAACATTAAACTGTGTGATGAATGTGTATTTTATAACTGATAAAACCAATGACTTATCTCTCAAAATAATTGTATGGCAACTTGTTTATGAAATAACTTTCCACTTAACATTTTCTTCAGAGTTACTTACTGAATAGATGTGTTCAGTAATTCATGACAGTAACTGAGGGAGCAGATATATGCACATAGAGTGGCACAAATACCTGTCATGGTGGAGTCTGTTGATTAGAATAATTTAAGTCTGACTCTAATTACACAGAAACAGAAACGTAAACAATGTCTTATCTGATGCATTGTCCTTCTTATCAATGTCTGTACTTTTGGGATGCTGGACACAGATAGCTACTTTGTAAAAAACCACTGTTGGTTCTCGTCTACTGTTTCTGTCTGTCACACACTCCAGGAAGCACAAGCTCAGCACATGCTGCAAGGTTTACTACATCCTACCAACCTGGAGTGTAATTTTACATTTGGTGCTTGAGGACAGTGTCCTAAGAAAGAAAAGCCCGCTTCATTCCTCCTCAGTGAACACACACCATCAGATCTGTATTCCCATATTGCTTCCAACCATGAAAGGAAATGAGAGATAGGTCTACTTTCAGTGAAAACCATTTTGAGAAGCCATGCATGCTCATGAGTACTCCTGTCTGGGTGAACACTGAAACTTAGTGCCAGGTCAGCCCAGCGCAAACTGCCACTCCAAACCCACACCTCAGACAAAGGTATTGATAATAATGGTGAAGGTGATTGATGTGATCTGCACTCGAATCCAAATCTTAAAGCTGCTGGGGCTGGAGCCAGATCCAGGCTGGAGTTAGTTAAGAGGAACACTGTAGTAAAAAAAAGTAGGCTGCTTTTGGTTTTGTAGAGCACCCAGGTAGGTTGGTGCAGATCAAGTACTCCCAGCATTCTCCACAAATTTTGTATGGAGGTTACATTAGCCCACCCCTAATTTGAAACAGAAAGTGATCCTTTTCACCTCTTCTCCTTCTGATCCTATGGCATTACATTCCTGATTGTGCAACTGTTTGACCATCAATCACTCCACCAACCAAAAGGGTGATGCAATCCCTTCCCTGAGTGACCAAAAGTCTTATATGTAAGCTATCTTTTAAGAGAGTATAGAAAGTACCTATTCCTGTTTATTTAGACATCTATCATCAGAAAAGGATTAAGTGGTCTGGACATTCATTGGACACCAACATCCAATATTTGCACTGATTCTTCCTCTTGTGTATGAAGATAGGTAAACACAGAAGTTCAATGATCTTGATTGCCCTCTGGCAGCGACTATCACCCATATAGTCAATAGAGATCAATCCATAACTCAATATTGACTGTATGGGAACACAGATTCTTACATTAAAAGGACTGGATCTCCCTACAAGAGTACAAACAAGTAAAGAGTGATTTACAGGAGCTTAGCAAACTTTAGTATGAATGTATCTTTTTACTTAAAGTAACAATGAATACCAATTTTCCCTTGTTCACAGCTTCATTTGCTCAGGTCACTTTTAGAGATTTACCAAATACCAATTAAAACACATTTCTGTTATTCAGTGGGTTGCTGGCTTTTTCTTCCATTTTCAAAAACCTGATGAAGTGGAAAAAAACTGTGAGAAGAGATACTTCTAAATATTTCCTCTCATAATTTTAGAATCAAATCAGTGGGATTAATGGCAGCAAAAAATACACTTTCTGTGACACAAGGTGTTTATTAAAATCTAAGCCCTAAAGTAAAAACACTGAATGCAAATATCATACAATGCTAATAATTGTAAAATGTTTTATTTAATTTGTAGAAAGAAAACCATGGAAACACAAGCCAAATATAAATATGATGTGGTTTTCTTAAATTTATAAGAAGCCTGAAATAACAGCTCTAAGAAGCATGACATGTCCCTTTTATTTCATTTGAAACATTAAAATTGAAATATAATGTAGAATAAATGTGATTTGCTATGAAAACAAATAACAAAGAAACTGCTGTACTGACCTCATTCAGCTTTGTTATGTTTAATTTGGTAAAAACATCAATGATTGTAATTATCTGAGGCAACACCAGAAATTCCACAGAGGACTATGGATTTTGCAGCAGTTAAAGTTCTACTTACTTGAGAAAGCTGGTTATTTATTGTGGAAGGCATCGGCCAAAAAACACCTAGTCAGCTCTTGGGGATCCATGATGGAGGCACCCCATGGTGCCTGGGGATGGGGCTTTCATCAACAGCTATTCTCTCACCAGGTCTCCACTAGGTCACTAGCTGCCAGCACTTTCACAGCAGCCCTGCCTTCTGCTGCATGATAGCCAAGGCCCTGATTTTTTCTGGAGTCCAGATTAGCTCAGATGAGCTGAAAATGGTCTGGTGGTGAAAGGTTTCTAAGCAAAACAATTTGGGAGCCCTAGCTTCTGGGGAGTAAGGAGGTTCAGGTACGGACTCAGTGCCTCAAATTTGAAGTTGCTTTGCTCAAGGCCTGCCATAGGGTATGATACATTAGAAAGTTGATGTAGATGCCTCTTTGCTTAGGTCAGCTGTTCTAGTTAAAAAAAAAATAAATTAAAAAAAAAATGGTGAAATTGTGAGATTTGTCTTCCCCTATAATTCTGCCCTTCACTTCTTTCTCTGGGCCCTATTAATCCTATGAAATAATCTCTGCAGGACTGCAGCACAGATTCAACTCTAGGCAAGCAAACAGCAAATTAAATGATCTTCTCATTAACCTTACACATTTGCCTTAATGAATAGCCCTCTACCTATTCACAGCCCACTGCCTTAAAATAAATACCTAAATAAAAATTGAAATCCTTGCATCTCTCTTGACATCAAGGAAAGTGAAAATAATTTCAGTTTAGTCAAAGCAATCCCACTAGATTTCTTCCAGTGCTGTGCTTCTGCAGCACAAGTTAATTTAGGCGAGCATCATGAGAACAGGACAATCTGTTTTCTATTTTAATCATGGCAATCAGAGAATGCATTTATCCACAACCCACCGAGTTGTATGCTACCTATTTGTAATAGCATCAAACTCGTTTAATGGGACAAATCCTGCTCTCAATCACACCTGAACAAGCTCATTCAGTCTGATTAAAATGAGCCTGTACAGGAGTAATTAAGAACAGAATTTGGAACACTACTTAATAAGCTGTATTTAGCACAGGCAGTCATTTCCCATCTCTAACGAAGTAGCCAACCTTTGATAAACACAGATAACATCAAAGATTTGTTTGGTTTTTCACTTGACATTCCACAAGATATCAGATGAATGTGCTGGGATTTTTTTCCCAACAGCTCTGGGAGGTGCAGCTGTCTTAAATGTGGATCACTGTCAATGCAACAGACTGGCAGGACCACATCTGGAACATGAGCAGTTTGATCACCCATGTTCAAGGCACGTGAGTTAAATTGGGAACAGCTGCAGGCAACAGCTACTAGGATGCTCATGGGGAAGAAGAAACCCTTCTGAAAGAAGAAACAACTTGGTTTAGTCTTGCAAAAGAGAAGGAAAGAGATGGGATTACTCCCTCACATATTTTAAAAGAGCAATCAAAAAGAGGAAAAACAACTTCTTAAGTTAAAGGACAATATTGACAAAGTAATACATGGATACAATCTCATTATTTGAATTGAAACAATTTCTAACAATGGTAGGAGGGAATTTCTGGAGGAACATTCCCATTGGAGTAGTGAGGATTAACTAGATTAAAATAAATCTTAGTTGGTTTATCACAGAATCACACAGAATTATTGAGACTGGAAAAGACCTCTGAGATCATCAAGTCCAGCCTGTGACCTAACACCACCACATCAGCTAGACCATAGCACAAAGTGCCACATTTAGCCTTTCCTTAAACACAACCAGGAGCAGTGCCTTCACCACTTCCCTGGGCAGTCCATTCCAATGTCTAATCACTCTCTTCCCAGTATCCAACCTAAACCTCTCCTGGCACAGCTTCAGGCCATGCCCTCTCCTCTTGTCACTAGTTGCCTGGGAGAAGAGCCCAGCTCCCACCT